TAGATGCGTCATGAGGTGCCGAACGGACATTCTCATCGCTCTAACCGCTGGAGTTTCACAGCGGCTGTCAGCTGTTTACTCCTGTCATTCAAACAGAACGTGCTGGAGAGGGGGCGGGGCTTATCTTCTCCATGTAAATACTGTGGTGGAAACGACTATGTCAAAATTAACCTATTTGACCGTGATTTAATAGTAATACACGTTTCAAAATAATAATAATAATAATAATGCCGAAGTAACAACATACTGAAAACTGTTAGTAAAACCATGTTTTAATGCTTTACAATTTACATACCTAGATGCACGTGTGTTGTGTTTATGCAGTGCAACTCCCACCCAGTGGGTGGCTATGTAGAGTGATAGAACAGAGCAGGCACGCCCCCGAGAGAAAGAAAGCAAGTCACGTCACAAATTAGCATTTCTAAAATGTTAGCGTGGATTAATAAAAGTGCAAAAAGACAGCGGTTGTCGCCGGAAGAAACTTCAAATACAGAGAATGCTGTGCCTGTGTTGGAAATTGTGTCTGATGGGGAGCTTTCTTTGGTTGATCCTCCTGCTCCAAGTTCTAGTGCATTAGCATTAGCACTAGCTCCGCCGCCTCCTCCAGAGCCTCTAACGTTAGCTGCTGCTGGCGCAACTGCCACCACCAACACCGGGCAAAGCGATGCACCTGACAACGGACAACGGACCAGGTGCAATATTTTTGCAAGACCAATGCATGGCTCCTTCTTAAAGATAAGAAGCTAGGATGTCGGATATGCAGAGATGTCAAATCTTTGGGAATACACACTGGACAAGGACTGAAACTGTCAACTGAATGGGGTGAGTGTGCAGTGTCTCATTTCGGTGTTGACAAGGGCAAACAACAAGCTAGCCTGAGAAAAAAAATCAAAGAACATAAAGAATCACAAGCCCATGTAAAAGCTGCTGACATCCTTACATCTGCTTCACGTGAAACTATTCAACATCAAGTGCAGTCTATGCATAAATCTGAATTAGACACCACTATCAGAGTTTTTCGAACGGCATATAAAATTGGCAAACATAGCCGGCCATTCACAGACATGCCAATTGATTTGAATGTACAGAAACTGAATGGGCTGAACGTGGGCAGGGTTTTGCACTCCAATAAAACCTCTGGCGAAATCATCGACCACATAGCTCATGAGCTGAAGAAAAAAATGGCAAAAGACATTACAGAAAACCAAAGAAAACTCTGTGTTTTGGTCGATGCATCTACCACTATTAGTGGTAAAAACGGTGCTTGTTGTGTGTCTACGCTCAGCATTAGCTGATGCTGAGCCCGAAACGTTTTTTTGGGAGCTGATCGAGTTGGATGGAACAACGGCTGATGACATCACAAAGGCGTTAATGGAGTGTCTTGGAAGAGATTTTAACGAGGACTTTTTAGGTCAGTGTTTCGTTTCTTTTGCATGTGATGGGGCTTCAGTCATGCTAGGGAAGAGAACAGGCGTTGCTACCCAGTTGTGTAGTAAATTCCCAAGCCTGTTTGTGTGGCACTGCTCCAATCATCGTCTAGAGCTGGCAGTTGGGGATGTGGTCAAGGAGGTCTCAGGGCTCAATCATTTCCAGATCTTTTTTGACAAACTCTATTCCTTGTTCCATGCCTCCCCCAAAAATCAGAGGCAGTTAGCGCAGTGTGCGCAAGCAGTCGGACAGCGTCTCCTGGTGATAGGGCGTGTTTTGTCCATCCGCTGGGTGGCTTCAAGTGAAAGGAGCGTCAGAGCAGTCTGGGAAAACTACCGAGTGCTTCATGATCACTTCACAAATGCTGCAAACGACACGAGCAGGGATTCCAGAGACAGAGCAAAGTACAAGGGCCTGGATGATGTGCTCACATCTGCAACGTTTGTCAGCAATCTGGGACTGATGTACGATGCGCTCACAGAGCTCAGCGACCTCTCTCGGCAACTCCAAAAAAGAGAGATGACACTGCCTACAGCAGATAGGCTCTTAACTCGAGAAATACGAGTTTTTGAATCCATGGTCACCATGCCTGGCCCACACATGACTACAGTTCATACAGCTCTAGCTGAGAAGTCCTTCAAGGGTGTTGCCCTGCGTGAGAATGGCAGGCTTGTACAGATTCATGCAGGTCAGTTTTTCCGCAGTATGGTAGAGAATCTGAGACACAGAATGACTTCCACAACCTCCTCTCATGTCAGCACAAGAGAAATCCCATTACATGGCCGGGAGGCCCGGGACAATCAGCTAATCCAGGACATGAAAGTTATCCATCCTGGAAGTTGGCCTGAAGAGGAGTTAGACGTACAGTATGGGGACGTAGAGGTGCTACGTTTGTGCGAAGTGCTGAAAGTGGACAGAAGAGAGACTGTTCAGGGCTTTCGCGAATACAATGAAACCAGGGCATCCCGTACACCTGCTGCCATGGAGCCTCTACTGAAAGCAGTCCGAACCATCGCTGTCTCCACTAGTGAGTGTGAGCGGGCATTCAGCTGCATGAACAATATCCTTACTGCAAAAAGGAATGCTCTCTCTGTCAGCCGACTGTCCAGCCTGGTTTTCATTACATGTAATGGACCATCACTAGGACAGTTCAATCCGGAACAGTATGTGAGGTCCTGGCTGGCAAAGGGAAGGAGAAGTGCTGATGAAAGAGCCTGTCCAGCTCCAGCCCCTGATACTGATGTCCCCAAGGCCTTCTGGAGCCTTTTCTAACAATGTGAAGTATATTGCAAAGCAGCTCACCCAGTGAGAAGACTTTTGGCATAATGTGCCGATTTGTACAGATCCTGGAGATAGAAGGACTTCAGACCAACCAGGGAGTTATCTGATCAGCTTGGTGTTCAATGTAACTCTTTACCATGGCTCAGACTTTGTTACTTGCAGTTACAGTTTCTCATTTTAGATTGTGCAAATTTTGCATTTGTTTTTACATGTTCTTTGTTCATGCTCTTTATCATTTTTCTGAGTTGGAAAGTTAGATTGCATCATAGTTTACTTTATACATATTTGTATTCTTCAGTGGTGAAGTATATTGCAAAGCAGCTCAGCCATGTGAGAAGACTTTTGGCACTTTTTCGTTTTTCGTTTTCTGAGTTGGAAAGTTAGATTGCATTCAAAATGTACAGAAATACTTAATTTTGTTAAAGCTTTTTATAAAAAATGCTTCTGACCAGAGCTTTGTTTCCTTGTCATTAATGTTGAACACCACCAGAGGGGCTCTCACCTGAAAGGTCTCTGCTTCATCTGTCTTCAGCAGAAGATCTAGACTTTGATTGCTATATTTTCAGTTAATATTGACCTTACTGAGCTTTAGCCATATCCGCTGCCTATCATAAAAAATGTTAAGTACAGTGAACCTTTCTAAAATATACAGTAGTAAAGAGACAAACCCACCAGCATTATAGTAGCCAAATTCTTGTTTGTGGGCTGTATATATAAAATTGACTTGAAAAAGTTGCTGATTTTAGAGTACTGGCACCTTTTTCATTCCAATTCAAGCACTGCATATATACAGTTTAGTTTATGATTCAGCCTTGGGTAAGACTTTTATACTATATGGCTATGACGCCCATAATGCTAAACGGGAGCAAATGTTAAAAGGGGTGGGCCGCCGGAGTCCACGCCGCCGAAGCTAACGGGGCTGCAGGGTGCTAGCTCGCTAGCGCGTCCCGGCGGCCGTAGCTAGCACACTGGGGCTCCGTTAGCTTCGGCCAGCGGCGGAGTCCGGCGTTATAACTGCAGATCAAGGAATGTATCGTAACGCGGACTTGGTTCGCCTGCAGCCCGCTGTAGTATTAGCTAAATAAATGATGTTGAGCAAGGCTTATTAAGCTGAACACCGCCACAATTATTCTGCTATGTATCGGTACTTATTTTATTTTATTAACGTGTGAATGACAAGCATTAAGAATAATACCAAATAGCTAATTATCTTGCAGATTGTCTCGTTTGATTATGAATGTAACGTTTATATAGTGGAACTACACTGTTTTATCAAAACCAAAGTGCCACGCAGTGACTTGGTATGCATGTATTTCAGCAGGAAATGTGCAACCTAGATGACATTTACCAACACAGACTATATAGAAATATTTGTAAAAGTTGTTCATGCGTTACTAAGTGAATATGGCATTAACCCTCCTGTTGTCTTCGGGTCAAATCTGACCGATTTACTACTTTCATCAATCATGTTTTACATTCGATTGATACTGAGAGCATGTTAGCTTAGCTTCTTAGCCTGAGCTAGGACTCGCTCCTCAGCTCCGCCTCTTTGCCCTTATTTGGAGAAGGCGGGAGAAGGCGGGAGTTAGACTCTGACGACACCGTCGAGCCGTTAGTGGCCGACTCCGCCTACTAAGGGCTTCACGGCAACTCTGCAGAATCCTATGGGTGACGTCATGGACCCTACGTCCATTTATATATACAGTCTATGATTTAAACTGAAGGTATGTTTAAGGTACATTATGCTATCAAAACATTGATTTTAATTTCTAACAGGTTCTTTCATTAACCGTGGGGTTTCTTCCGTTAACCGTGGGGTTATTTCGTTAACCGAGGTTTTTTTTCCGTTAACCGTGGGGTTTCTTCTGTTAACCGAGGGGTTTCTTCCGTTAACCGTGGGGTTTCTTCTGTTAACCGAGGGGTTTCTTCCGTTAATCGAGGGGTTCTTCTGTTAACCGAGGGGTTTCTTCCGTTAACCGTGGGGTTCTTTCGTCAACCATGGGGTTCTTTCGTCAACCGTGGGGTTCTTTCGTTAACCGTGGGGTTTCTTCCGTTAACCGTGGGGTTCTTTCGTTAACCGTGGGGTTTCTTCCGTTAACCGTGGGGTTCTTTCGTTAACCGAGGGGTTCTTTCGTTAACCGAGGGGTTTATTTCGTTAATTGTGGGGTTTCTTCCGTCATGTTCTTTGATATATCTTACAAGATCAGCGCCACAGTATTGCCCTCATATTATATTTTTCAGAATTGTTTCAGTCCCAGTTGGAGTAACAGATTCTCTCCTGGTGTTTGCAGCCCACCATGACTTCGGGCACTTCTACGGCTCCAGCTACGTGTCGGCCCCAGACGGCAGCCGCTCTCCGGGTCTATCCAGGACCAGAGACGGGTTGCTGGTGGTGGAGATGGATCTGAACCTGAACAGACAAATCAGTGATAAATGGAGCTTCAAGGTAAATATAACAATAGTGTAACAAAACTCCCTTTGTGACACATGTTTTGCTTTTTTATGCCTATAGATATTTTGTGTATTGTTTGACATTCTATATCTTGACTTTTTTATGATTTTCCACTGCTATACACTTTTTTTAAATATATTTTTGAACATACTGTAAATTAAAAATGACATATTTTCCGCATACTACATTATAATTTTTTTACATGATGTATTTTAAACATACTATACTATGACTTATTTCATACTTTTTGACCTACAATTACCATGATCTTTTCATATAAAAAAAAAAACCCATACTAACCCTAACCCTTTTTTAAGATATTTTACTTACTATATGACTTTTGGGACTTAAAAACAATGCGTTTTTCCATGGTATTTTTTACATACAACACATTTTTTCATATACATATTTTTTTTTTTACTTACATTATTATTTTAAACATACTATAACTTTTTACTATTTTACATCTACATACTGTACTATGCTCCTCCTTCGCGTCGAAAGGAGCCAGTTGAGGTGGTTCGGGCACCTAGTTAGGATGCCACCTGGGCGCCTCCCTAGGGAGGTGTTCCAGGCATGTCCAGCTGGGAAGAGACCAAGGGGTAGACCTAGGACCAGGTGGAGGGATTATATCTCTTCGCTGGCCTGGGAGCGCCTTGGGATCCCCCAGTCAGAGCTGGTTGATGTCGCCAGGGAAAAGAAAGTTTGGGGCTCTCTGCTGTAACTGCTACCCCCGCGACCCGATCACGGATAAGCGGGAGAAGATGAATGGATGGATGGATGGATACTGTACTATGACTTTTTTTCCTTGACATACTTTACTATTTTTTTTAAACATACTATGACTCATTTTTCAACATACTATACTATGACTTTTGTCGTCGTATTAATATTACTATTCTCCTGGATGACTGTTAATCTCAGACTGTCCTTCTCTCTGCAGATGACTGGCCGTTACCCTGAGTACGCAGAGGAACTCACCGAGGCGGTCAAACATGACTTCAAACCAAAAGTTGTGAAGGAGTAAAGGATATTCCTCTTTAGTAAATTAAAGTATGAAACAAACCAGGTTCAGACCCTGTCATCATGTTTAAATGTGTCTGCAGCGGCCACAATCATAAAGAAATGATCCAGGCAGGATTCGCTTTGTTCCATTTATTTCATATCACAATGTACGGTTTCCTCTTCCTTTCCTGAAGCCTTTCCTTCATGCTCTACTTCCACCGATATATACGATTACACCAGGTGCCCAAGATGCCTTCAAAAGAAAAGGACATGGTTAAATCATACACCCCAGCACCTGCACTCCGCTCTGCATCAGCCTAACGGCTCGCTGCACCCTCACTGCGAGGGGGACCCAAGTTCCCATCAGCAAAAACACGTGGGTTTGATATCCTGGCTCCAAAATGGTGGAATGAGCTCCCCATTGACATCAGGACAGCAGAAAGCTTACACATCTTCCGGCGCAGACTGAAAACTCATCTCTTTCGACTCCACTTCGAGCAATACAATTACTAACTAAGCACTTATAATAAAGGACTTACATACTAACAAAGGACTAGCTTATCCAAAGCCAGTTGAGTAGCACTTGAAATGGTCTGGCTCTATGAAACCTGATGTTCTTATATGATTCTGTTTTCTTCTAGTTTGTATCTTCTTGGTCGAATGCACTTATTGTAAGTCGTTTTGGATAAAAGCGTCAGCTAAATGCAATGTAAAAAAAAGCATAAAAAACTTAAATAATATCAAGAAACAAAAACAGCGAGAAATAAATGTTTAATTCTTAAATACTATAGGCCTAAAGCAATATATATCTTCTCCAACAGTGTTCGTCTTAAATACTGATTGCATTTAGTTGGAAGAAAACTTAATTCCAAAATCAATCCCATGTTCTTAATAAATGGATTAAACACATATTTTTCATTTAATTTGTTATGAGTTTATTTTACTGCAGGGGAAAAACACAGGTTTTGATGCGACAATTATACACTTTCCGTACATTTTGAATTAATATAAATAGGTTATCTTAACATCAGAATCTACTTTCGGGAAGATAACGTTGAATTCTCAGTTTAAAACAATCAGAGAACTGAAGCCTAACTAAAGAAGCAAGTTAGCTTAATCTGGCTAATGCTAGCTATTTATTGTTGGGGAATAATTTGCTTAGGTATTCAACCTTTGACACAGTTCATAATGTTCTCCTTTCACTGTCTCTTTTCCCATGGCATAGGTCTACTGCCTTGTATTGCTGCGATCTCTCTTAAGGAGGAGCAGCTTGGGCGCATTGTTGTTGCCAGCTTATGACCGAGCACAAGCTGACATGAGAGTTTATTGTTCAGGGACATCTCGTCTCGAAGCCCTTATTTTTAGGGACGTAGGTTCCCTGACGCACATTCTTTCCTATGGACGACAGCTCTAGTTAGATTCAGGGTCCATATTTGTTTAGTCTCACTGATGAAGAATGTTGATTATTACACTTCGAAATAGTTCAAACCTGGAGCTACAGGAGAGTTCTTCAGAATTGATTTGGCATCTCTACCGTGTGGTCAACTCGTGGCCCGTGACTTGTCTTGTGAATTCTCCGGCCGAAGCTCCAAATAAACCGTCAGTGTTTGCCATCAAAGCTCCAGCTCTCCGAGTCCTGACTCCCAATTGCTTCAGAAGTTTCCCCCACATGTATCATCTATATAGACCTCACATATCATATAAAACATATCATTTGCATATTTAATTCACTCAATCTTTGCCCAAATGTCAGGTTATATTGTGGTGTAAGTAACTGTACCAGAACAATTACAATGGTTGAGCACATGTGCAAGTCCTTTAATCACAACATATAATAAATGCAGCTCTATGTTCAATACAAAATAAAGTCTGTGGTGTAAGACGTGCCGTTTGTTCTTCACCAAAAAAGCACAACTAGGAGGAAATTGCTTCTCATCAATTCAGGAAAAAAGCTATTTCAAGGTTTATTATATTTAAATAACACACAATCATGTCTAGGTTTGTAAAGTGTAGTGCAAAAACATCAACATAAACAACAACGGAGTGACGGTGAGGTAAGTTAACACCACTTTCAATTAGAGAACACATTAGTGGAGATTTGTTTTGCCACATGATTAATAAAAAAACAACTTTTAATTTCTCCATTTTTCCACGACACCAACACACAAGATGTTTTTACCCCATTAAAGTGAATGAAACTGTCAAATTCATTTTGATGTAAATCCAATGTCCAGACAGAGTCCCATAAACAAAGTGTTGCATTGAACGAGCATTTGACGTCACACTTTAGGGCTTTAATTACCTGAGACTCACAAACTACTTCCTGTTTTCCCTGTTGATGAAATACAGTTTTGCATTGATGAAGTATTTTTACAGGAAGACACAGAAGTTAGCATTCCCAGGGATTCCTCGACAAAAAGCCAATGGGATTTTTTTATTGGTTTTCGGTCAAAAGCAAAAAATACCCTCTGTGGTTAACACACGTTTATGATACTTAGACGTTTTGTTCAGCAATAGAATCTGCTAAAATCTCTAAAGGAACTACATCACGGTCACATGACTTCACCGCTAAGCTAAAGGCGGCTAATGTTGGGCTATACAGGAACTACAGCACGGTCACATGACTTCACCGCTAAGCTAAAGGTGGCTAATGTTGGGCTATACAGGAACTACAGCACGGTCACATGACTTCACCGCTAAGCTAAAGGCGGCTAATGTTGGGCTATACAGGAACTACAGCACGGTCACATGACTTCACCGCTAAGCTAAAGGTGGCTAATGTTGGGCTATACAGGAACTACAGCACGGTCACATGACTTCACCGCTAAGCTAAAGGCGGCTAATGTTGGGCTATACAGGAACTACAGCACGGTCACATGACTTCACCGCTAAGCTAAAGGCGGCTAATGTTGGGCTATACAGGAACTACAGCACGGTCACATGACTTCACGTAGCAACCGCTAAGCTAAAGGCGGCTAATGTTGGGCGTGATGACGTTTAATCGTCTCAATTAGACACTTGTTAGCAACTGCCATTTTAAAATTCACCAGTGGGGTATAACTGACGTATTTTATGTCAGAACAAAACGTTGTGTTAACCACAGACCTTATTTCAGGCTTAAAAAACAAAAACACATTCAGAAAAACCATTGACTTCCACACAAGGGAATCGGACGTTGAATACAGACTAATTTCCGTGTTTTAGGACTCTTTCCTGCACCACTCTATAAGAATAAAAAGTAACAATGAGGTAAGTAAAGAGGATTTAGATGGAGATGAAACTGGTGACGAGGATTCAACAGGACGAATAAATTAAGAGAGGAAGTCCCGCCTCTTCCAAGTGTCACTCATGTGATCTTATTTCTGGAAAAAATAAGAGATAAAGCGTTGTGTGGCCCTTTAAATAACGCCCACCACTGTCTTATACCAATCTTTTAAATTGACCAAAATATTTGTGTCTTTCGTCGTTGACTCCAAAATAAAATCCCATCATGGTCCATCGGAAGCGACTGACTTTCTCAAAAGGATAAATTAAATGTTCTCATCATCAGTCCTGGATGGATTATAAGCACAAGTACATTTCCTATCTTGTCATGATTCACACATTGTATCTACAAGTCTCATACTCTCACAGTTTGAGATTTCCTTTGCTCCAAAGTCAGTCGTTAAAATTCCACAATAAAATGAATTTAGACTCATCTGCTCAGCGAAGGTGGATATAAAAATAAATTCAATATGGATTATTATCATCCCAGCCTTCGAGTGGTAAGACCGGAAAAACTGAGAAAGATGGAATAGAAGCTGTGAGTCCTTGGATCTGAAGCATCCTGTCGCTACGACGATGAGCTGAGGAAGAGGAAGATAAAACTCATCCTCACTGTCCATCAACTCTCCTTATAGATCAACAGGATATCTTCATCTGTCCCATAGCTCCGCCGAGCCTCCTCAAAAACACTGACGCTCGTGCAGCACACGCCTGGAAAACACAAAAACATTGAGGTTAATATTTGACTTCAACCATCTCTGTGTTTTATTGATTCCTCTTTGTCTTAATCTTTGTTGTTGTGATCGGATCCACGACACAGTCAAATTCAGTGATGCCACATTCAGCGAGGGTTTACTCACGGTCAGAGTACGCCGGGTTGTTGTAGAAAATGCAGCCGGTGGTCCTGTTGTAGCCGCACACCACCACGAAATGCCCCTGGTACTCCGGTTTCCTGCAGAAACACTTCTGTCCCACGGGCAGGAAGCAGCAGTATTTGACGGGCGAGGAGCAGAGGTCACAGGTCAACACCACGGCGTTCACCAGGACGATCGCCACGTGACCCTGCTCCAGGTGAGACTGGATCTCCTGAAGCGGCACAGAGCTGCGGGGAAACACAATCAGAGTCAGAATACCTTTATTCCCTCCTCAAGGTTTCAAGGCTTGTATTGTCATGTAAAACAATAACATAGTTGCAGTGTAGTTATGACAATGAAAATCTTAGGTCACAGGCTCCTCCCACAGTGCAACACAATAAAACAGATATAATAGAGACCGAATATGATAGAAACTGTGCAGAATAGTCGATATACAGTAATTGGAATATTGATATATGTAAGTTGCAAACAGATGAATGTTATGGATGTTCTTTCAAAAGTTCAGGTGTCTAACAGTCTCATGGCCTGACAGTTATCTCTTTGGCATTAATGGACTGATTAAGAAAAAGGCCCATCTAGCTGCACTTGTACATATGTGACCTGCTCTATCGAAATCAGTCGCATTGACCCGAAGACACATTTTGAGTTGTATACACTGTTGGAAAGAGGAGGTTCCTAGCTTTCTAATGATATCAGGATTGTTGTTGTTCTCCAAATATTCAGCAAAATATGTCACATTATATAATGACTGTTACCGAGTCATCATTTTGAGAAAAAGGCTTTCAAAGTTTCCTCTTCTCTGGAATCCATCGATCTGATTGGTTATTAGCGGCTAGCAAATGATCAAAGTAGTACGGAGGGAAGATATTTTCCCTTGGATTACTGGTCTGGGGGAAGCTCGCGAGTGTATGTGTGTGTGTGTACGTGTTTGTGTATTTTTGCGTTTGTGTGTATTGCGTTTGTTTCCCGGGGAAAACACTCACGAGAAACACCGGC